TGACCTGGTAAGCAATGAGCTGTATGAGAACAGCCCTTCTTCCAGCAGTAGGGCTACAAGGCCATGTTGTCTGTAGGCATAGTTCCAGTTTTCATGTAAAAATTGGCTCGTTTTCAATAACCAAGGAGCATTGAGTAAGTATTTTTCCTGTAATTGAATATAAGGCAATTACCTAAGAAGTGCTAGTTTCTCCACCCATAGTTGTAATTACTGTGTTAGTAAGATATTCAAATTTTTCCACACTGTTAAAAACCAGGTGCACAGCTGTCTGGAGATTTTACCTGTAGATTTCTGGACAAATTTCATCCTGATGCATTTGCCAACATTCTTGCTGTCTGCTCATCCTTTATTCTTGGAAATGTGACTTTTTTGTGACATTCTACTGAAAGGTTATTTAGAGACATGCTGGTGCTACATTTCCAATCAATAGTGCAGCTTTGAAGCTCACCTGACACTTCCTATTGTAAGTCAGTGTGGTCTTTCAGTTATCACCATACCCTAACAATTTGGCTACAACTTCTGTGCTAGCTCTCTGGCTCTCTCTAGGAAAAAAAACACTGTTACTTTTAGTATTTTCAGAAACAAACTGGAGAAATGTTCCTGCTTTCAGTAAATTCTTGAGGGCCTGTCTTCAGAACACTCCAGCATTTCAGGCTTTGCAACAACCACCTGCACTTTACAAGTAGCCTTCGCATCAAGTAGAGAGATACATTTGTGATCCTCTGGATATCTGTCCAAATCGGCTCTGTTGTACGCTGTTGAAAAGCACGTTTGCATGTGCTCACTGCTAGACCTTAAAAACTGAATTGTCTGAAGCCTGTTCTCATTGAGAGGGTTAAGCCTCTTGCAGCTCCTGTGTGGGGTCAGTCTGTATAAATGTAATTGTCGTAGGTAAATGAGTATGACGAAAGCCACAGGTCAGCAAGACAACTCATGGAATGGCTGCTCCAGGTGCTTTTAACTGGTTGAGCTGTTGCACGGGTCAAAAACCAGGAACTGTCTCTCCCACGCACTCAGTTGATTACTTTGGTGGCACATAAATGGATGGAAATACCCAATTTGAGTGAAAACGGAACATAAATCAAGGAGGAAAGCAGCTCTTGATTATGTAATGGGTGGTAGGGGAATTCTAAAGAGGATCAAATTAAGATTTTTGTGTTTATTTAGTAGGTATTGGAAAGCTTGGCTTGGCAATGCTGGTAATGGCGTTTTTTGTGATCTACACTTAAACTGCCAAAGCCGAGTTGACAGTGGTGGAGGATAGCTGTGATCAAGAGCTGGTGGACTGCATAATCCTCTCAGTAGGTTGTAGACAAAAAACTTTCCTCTCCCCTACATTAGTCACACTACTATTGCTACGGTCATTAGTAGTCCAAATGTTGTTTTTTTTAATTAATGCAAGGAGGCTTTTTGGTATTTCTACACATTGGGTGAAACCCCATGAGAACTGATGTCCATGATTGTCACCCTTATTTTAAAAAGATCTTAAAAGGAAAAGGGTAAAATAAACCCTATTGCTCTGGTGAGACCCCACCTGGAGTACTGCATCCAGCTCTGGAGCTCTCAACACAAGAAGGACATGAACCCGTAGAATGAGTCCAGTGGAGGGCCGTGAAGATGATCAGAGGGCTGGAGCACCTCTCCTATGGAGACAGGCTGAGAGAGTTGGGGTTGTTCAGCCTGGAGAAGAGAAGATTCTGGGGAGACCTTATAGTGGCCTTCTGGTACCTAAAGGGGGCCCACAGGAGAGATGGGGAGGGACTCTTCATCAGGGAGTGGAGCAATAGGACAAGGGGTAATGGTTTTAAACTGAAAGAGGGGAGATTTAGAGTAGATATGGGAAAGAAATTCTTTACTGTGAGGGTGGTGAAGCACTGGAACAGGTTGCCCAGAGAAGTTGCGGATGCCCCATCCCTGGGACTTTCAAGGCCAGGCTGGATGGGGCTTTGAGGAACCTGGTCTACTGGGAGGTGTCCCTGCCCATGGCAGGGGGGTTGGAACTCAATGATCTTTAAGGTCCCTTCCAACTCTAACCATTCTATGATTCTATTATAAATCTAGCGTGCTGGAACACAAGGAGGCTTCACCCAAAATAAAGGTACATTCAAGGTTAGAGAGCATGCATCTCAAAGAAAAAGTCTACAGAGCTTGATTAAGTATTGGGTGAGCGGGGTGGAGGTGTCCAACTGTGAGAAGATACTGTCATTTGCTGTTCTGGGAAGCAGGAGTCTGTACAGTCTTTGGGAATACACAGGAATAACCTGTGTATTCAGTACTGTGTTAGAAAGAATTCTTGACTCCAGCATGACGTTATCCTTCCTAATTATCCAGCTTAAAAAATGCTAACAAACTGTGTTCCTAACAGTTCCCAGCCAAGCAGAGAACTAGTCCTGTGATCCAGTGTTTTAGTTACACATGGTGCTGTTCTCTTGGTAGTCTGGTCAACAAAAGTTTCGTGTTTCTTAACACAGTATGGGGTCAAACTCTGCTGCTTTTCTCCATTCACCTCAGAGGTGGCTGCATGTCGATGACAGGTAGCTGCTAGGCTGCTCATATTATTTTAAAAAAATTACAATCTTCAAGAGGAAATATGCTATATTAAGACCTAATTATTTCCTTGCATATAATTTTTCCTTATTTTTTCTTAGCTGCTATAATTCACACAACTTCAAATAATCTAAATTCTAAATAGACTTTTATTGTATTTTTTTCTATTTTTTTATCTCATCAATGTGCCTTTGGTACTACAACTTCATACTTTTGAGTATTTCTGTTCCTCAGTGTTCCTCCCCAAAAAACCACAAGACCCAGGTCAAGTGCACTTTCCTGATCTGGGAGTGTGTACATGCTAGAGCTGAGATGGAAACACAGCCCTCTCTCCTGTAACTGCTGATCCCCTGGAAAATCATGCTGTTGGTTGGTGGGTATCAATAGTAATCAATGAGCAGCCTGTCCAGCCAAGCTTATGCTCTTGCAAAATAACGCACTGCAGGAAGAGTAGATTTTAGATATTTTATTAAGTGCTGAACCACTAGTGATCTTTTTAAGAGGAAGAAATGAGTTCAAGAGAAGGGAAGGCATAAATTCTTAGCAAGATTTCTTAGTACAGTCTGGTATGCCTGCCTTGCTGCTCTACAGAGCGTGTCCCACTAAGGCATGTCATTTGTATAGGGAAGAGTAGGAGGCAGAAAGCCAAAAAATCTGAAAGATCCCATTATACCGCACTTCCAAAAACTAATCCAAATCAGTTTCAAAGTGGCTTTTGTCAGGTGCCAAACAGAGAAACATTAACACTGAATAAATTAACACAAGAGTCTTCTTTATTAGAGTTTGCACCAAAAAAGTCTCACCAGGTGAGTGTTACCCTACAGGCTGAACCACCTTCCAGCAACAAACCTATGTTTGTTGGCATGGCTTTGGTACCACCCCTCACTGATCTTTCAGTTGGGCTCTGTTCACCCAGTGCAGGGACAGGACAAGGACAGGAATGAGAGGAGGCAATCACTGACTTCTGCATCAGCACTGCTGCTAAAAGTCAGCCGCAGTCTGTATTAAGGGTCTTTGCTTTTTAAAGCAATAACACAAAAATTAAGTCATTACACATCAGTACATTTAGATTAAAATGCAAGCAGACATACAGTATCAACAATATAGTGTCTTCTAAAAGCTTCTGACAGTAGGTTTTATCCCCACTAGTTTCTATCCCTGGCTGCATTCTTTATGGGATTTTCTTAATCCTTTCCTGGCCTCTCATTTAATTCCCTTAAACATAACTTTCATTGTTACTACTGATATTGCTCTTCTTAATATACAGTATATGACTTGTTTCTGGTAAGGTTCCTGTAAGTACTTTGACAGTAGACCTTGTAAACTGAACCAGCTATGGAAAAATGTATTAGATCATATCTGAGATGGTGCTTTATAACTTGCCCATCACATACAACTTATTTGGTTGAGGGAGTTCTCCCGTCTCGTGGATATTACATGAAAGGGGAAGAGGAACGTTTTTTTCACTTGAAGTTCCCAGTTTGGAGGGGGAAACTACCAAACGCTCAGACCCTGGACAGCATCACATCTGCCAGGAAAGCTCACGTACTCCGGGTAAGACGCCTATTGCCCTATGTCTGCTACATTTAACGAGTACAACAAGCTGGTCTGGGTCAAATAAACTATAGAAGAAAAGAGTACAATAGGCAGAATTTCACACTTGCTCTCTTTGCGGCAGCAATATCTGGCTTTAGTTCCTAGAAAATGGGGGGCTCAAAACGCCATCTCCTCATTTGCATCAAAAAGGGAAGCCATGAGAGAGTTGGATCCTCTTTTTCAGCGAGAAATATCTTTGGCAATTACAAGCTTTTTCAGTGGGGAAATCACTGACTGTCTGACCACACCTTGGGGAACCGATGCTATGTGAAAAACGTGAGGTTTTGTTTCTGAGCTCTCTGAACTGCTAAAAAAAGTCGAAATTGGCGTAGACAGGTCAGGGACCGGGGCTGCCCTCGCACCGGGTGGGAAGGCCGGGAGCCAGCCCCGCTATCGGCCCACGCCGAGCTGCGGGCGGCAGCCCTGGCTCGGGCAGATAAATGCCGGTGAGCCCCGCACCGGCCCCCACCGAAGTCGGGGGCTGTGTTTTGCCTCATATCTGCGAGCGGTGGCTCTGCCCCGAACTTCCGCAGCCCCGCGGGGAGGCAGCGCCTCGCCGCCAAACCGGGGCCTGGTCTGAGGGCAGGTGGCGGCGGGGAGCTCGGTCCGCCCCCGGGGGAGAAGCCGGAGGCTGCAGGGGCTTGTTCCGCTCCCCAAGGGAAGGCGGCTCCCAAAAGCGGGAGAAGCCCTTCGGGTAAAGGACGCGGCGGGGGTAGGGCCCGGCCCGGCCGCCCTCCTGCCCGCTTCGCCCGGCGGCCGAGGGGCCTCCGCTGCTGAGGGGCCCGGCCGCCGCCATCTTGCGGCTGATCCCTCCCACCCGCCGCGCAGCTTCGTCCCCCCGCGGGCC